CTTGTAATCACACAATTCCATTGGCTGGTAAGACCCCGTTGCTAGTTAGCCAACCAGCAACGGGCATGAAACTGTATGCAGATGGAGAAGGGCAATCACCCTTAATGGGTGATCAATGGAGAAGGGCAATCACCCTTAATGGGTGATCAGGATGCGCATAGGGGATTAAGGGGGGGGAATACAAAAGAACACAACATTTTAGTCTGCAGGCTTTTGATCATCTTTGTTGCTCTTCTCTGAACTTTTTCCAAACTCTCAACATCTTTTTTGTGATATGGTGACCAAAATTGGCTGCAGTTTTCCAGGTGTGGCCTTACTAGGGTTTTATAAAGTGGTACTAATTTGAGGAGGATTGTTTATTTAAATGTTAAACATGTGATAAATAATATTATTGATCGTCAAAAATGTAAATGTTCGAAGTTTTAGAGTATGCTATAAGCTTTTGTTTAAATGTTAATGGGTAGACTAATGTCAAATATTTTCTCCGAGAAAAGGTAAAACTATTCATGGCACATGTATTTCGGCTTTCATCAGACTTTTTCTCATTAGTCTCAAATGTGATGCGATTGTTCTAAACCAGGGTTTGGTTACAGATAAATTAGCAAGCTCAATACAGAAGTGTTTTCTTGTTTAATTAAAGTATGTGGAAAGAAATTCACATTGAAGACTTTGAAAATGCAGACTTTTCCTTCACATGTAAAGCACAGCTTTAACAGACTGAAAACATGCAGGGTTTTTTGGACAGAAGCCAAACTTCTGGAAGATACAAATTCTATCCCGTACAATAGGAAAAGTGTTCTAGAGAAAACAGGGATTTGCATCTATTCGCCAGCTGCTAACTAAAGGGCAGGATGACTGTATTGCTGTGTTTGGGGTGTGATAAAGAAGAAGTTGGCATATTTGAGCCTAGAACATATCAGTTCATCAAAAGACAGAAGACGCCACTCCAGAAAGAGAACAATGTGTAACAGCCAGGAGATGAATATTTGTGAGAGCAACAGAAAGAAGCATAGTCAGTAAGAGCTATGTGCAAGCAAAAGAAAAACAATCTGTAGTCTGAGATAAAGGATGAAATTTACTTCCAAGTGATTCACCAATTTGGAATTTCCAAGAAAGAGAGACATTGAGACAAACAAATCTACAACATGAGCCAGTAATCTAAAAAATACTCTGTCTACATACTGTATTAGGAAAAGAGAATTTGAAAGTGAATACAGTTTATCTACAGCACTTAAAACAGCAATGCCAGAAGTAAAAGTAGAGATTTTAATTCATTTATTTATTAAAGAAACTTATATAGTCACCACAATGCATCTTTATGTATCAGGACTCCGGGTGGCTCACAATTACAATAAAAATGTAAAAGAAACAATTAAAAAATATAGCATCCAAACCCTCCAAAAACAACAGCATGTCCACAAAGTTAAGAGGAATTACAGAAAAATTATTTAAGTGAACGGGCTTATACAAAACTATCTCGACTGCAGAAAATTAATATAAGATAGGGTTGTTTATGTTAGTAAAATTGACATATTAGCTGTGCATCTTTGAAGCAACACACAGGATACTTCAAGGGGTAAATCTGTACCAACTTGTCTGTCCTGCCTTTCCTTGAACCATAGGGTTACAAGATATCTAAACAGGATACACTAACATTTTAATATTTGTATATACATTCATTGGAGAGGAAAGGATCATAAGTCAGTAAAAACACACAGAGATTAAGAGGCATGTGCTAGCACCTGCTGTTTGCCTGTGATGCTTGCTGCCGAGAGCAGTTAGGAGGCAAAAGACTTCAGGATATAATTGATTAACGTTTTGACAATTGTTAACTTGCTATTAGCACTTATTAGGGCACTGTTTCTCAACTTCAGCAACTTTAAGATGTGTGGACTTCAGCTTCTAGAATTCCCCAGCCAGATGCTGGGAAAGTCTGAGAGCTGAAGGCACACATCTTAAAATTGCTGAGGTTGAGAAATGCTATGTTAGGGAACACAGAAAGAGGGCTCAGTTAGATACTAAAAAAGCCAGATAATATTTGATTTTTAAAGCTATGCCTGCTGAGTGGAAGACATGTTGAATCATCCAAAATGAACCCACAATAAAGTATCATAAGAGCTCTTGTGAAGCAATTAGAGAATGGTAATTGTATACTGGTCCCTAACTGGCCATGCTTTGTAAAAGTGATAAAGAAGGTGGTAGCTTCTCAGCTGCAGGCAGTTCTGTAGAAAGGAGATTATCTTGGCCAATTTCAGACTGGCTTCAGAGTAGGATAGGAATTGAGCTTACCTTGGACATATTAATGGATAAAGTTTGGGACTTGACAAAGGGAAAGTGACCCAGTTGATTTTTTTTGACTCCTTAACAATTTTCAAAAACAATAATATTCCTCTGGAACACTTGACAGACTTGGGAATAGAAGTATTATGGTAATGGTTCTGCTCCTATCTCTCAGGTAAATTTCATATGGAATCTTCTGGAAATGGTCTGTGAAATAGCATCTAGTACAGTACGGTATATATGCTTTTCAATATCCACAATAGTGGATAGTTGGCATACAGCACTTCATTTGCATCTTCTCATTCTAAGATCCACAATTCCACACAAAATCTGTCAATTTTCAGCAACAATTTTCTTCGGCAACCCCTTTTTCTTTTTTCCTAATTAAAAGTGAGAAATAGGAGACTTGCTTCCATTATCATTTTAACTTTCCCACATCCAAAAGAAATGGAAAGAGTTTGCTTTTCAGAAGCCTCCATTTTAATTCCTGTCCCTTAACCTCCACTGAGAAATCAAAAGAAAGGGAGATAAATACTGGCCTCATGCTATCATGGCTTTTAGTGGAATTGAAAATGAAGGCAAATACATGTGTCCCAGGATAATGTTGCAGGATCCCATCTGAGTCAGTCACCTAGACCAGAGGTTTATTCTTCCAAGCTGTCAGACTCATGCTGGAGCATTGACCTTCAGAAGTCTCCATAATGTATGCACTGCACTCTTCTATGCATAGTATTTATGTGGTACCTGACTGTGTGTGGCTTATAGTTGTTAATTGGGGTGTTAATGGCCAGCTATTAAATGGTGGCATTCCTGAAAGATGGATCTGAAGCTTGATCTCTTTTTCATTCTTCAAATTGAAGCAATGTCCAGGGTCATGTTTGATTAGCTATGGCTGATACGCCACATTCATCTTTAAAATGATTTTCAAACTACAGTATAGCACACACCAGTGAACTATGTAACCTCAAAGATTGACTATTGTGATATGTTCTGCTTGGGGTTGTCCTTGTGTCTAATCTGGAAATTTCAGATGTTATAGAACTGAGCAGTCAAAGTGGTTTCTAGAAGAACTCAAAGACACATTATAGTTATTCTACAAGAAGTGGCTACCAGTTTGTTTCCAAACAAATGTAAAATGCTACATCTTGGAACCAGATTACTAGAGAAGATTCCTCTTGCCTTATAATTCTTCTCCTTCTTTTCTTTGAGATTATCTGAGGTGATTTGTCAACAGTTGCCATGGACAATTTTAATATAAACTAAGTATAAGATGATACTTGATATTTGCTGTAGAGACACAACAGAAAGGATGTGGATTTTTCTAAAACTATGGCTTAAAGATTAGAAAAAAGATATATGAAGATATTAAGTCTACATTAAAATTCAGAGTGATAGTTTTGCTGTAACTTTCCTATATCAAAGTAATTCTGCCAGTTGTACTTCCTAATCTTAGTAGATCAATGTGACTCTGGAAAGCAAGGAATATGAGGGTTCCTTCCCTGAATGCTAGGGGGAGATGAAAGGGCTTAACCTTGGAGTTGAATCAGAAATGTTGAAAAGTGGATGTCATATTGCTCAACAATACACACACACACGCACGCACACAAACACACATACTCACATGTCCCAAATTCAGTTCTTCCCCCCCTCTTTCTCTACGGATATATACATATGTTTATGTGTATACATGCATACATACTGTATATATTTATACATATATGTGTATGTGTGTACTGTATGTATGTATATTCACACATGTATACATACACATAAAATGTGTGTGCATACTTGCATATAACTGAAGAGTTAATTCTGGGCCAGTCACTGGCCATGTAGCTACAAACTAAGTTTCTACAGTATATCTAGCATCCAGATTTTTAAAACACTAAGTCCTATTACAAGGACAGCAGTAAATAATGAGGAAAAGCTGGGTATTTTGCCATATGAAAGTACAGTACAGATCAGTATATAGAAAAAAATGTAGCATAACATCTGTGAGATTGTAACACTCCATGGAGAACTTAACTAACATCAAGAACAAGGCCAACATCTCTGCCTATAATAATAATAAAAACCTCCTCATATGCACCCTGCTTTTTTAATATCTATATTCTGACTGTTCTTAATAATGGGGAGCCATCAAAATAGGCCTTCGGTAATGAAATGTCAAATCCCAGCAGCAACACTCTAACACATGTTCCTTCTAAACATGTAAACACCATATATGCACTACCCAGGAAAAATGGCATTCAGGCATGTTTGGTTTCTTTATTTCCCCCCATCCCCTCCTCCATTATCCTTTTGCCTTATGTTATTAATAGTGGCAGGAAAATAAACAAACTCTAACCAATGTCAGTTGGCATGACATCCTGTCTCAACTTGTATCTGCTTTAATTAATTTTCAGGTCTATCCTGTGCACCAAAGCTCTGTCAGAAAGTTAATGGTGGAAAACTTACTAGATTAGTGAAAATCATGGAAAGAGTAGCTTTTCCCCTCCATTCTTCCTGACCTTGCTTTCTCCCGAAGAGAGTGGAATGAGAAGAATCTGGAATGTGTTTATGTAACCTTTCCAGTCACCCAGGCTAGAACAGAAACCTACCTGGTTTTGATGAATGGCTATCCTGTAGATTTTGCTAAGTATACATCTGATTGACCTGCTGTGTTGGAAAATATTTTCACTACCGGCAAGTCACTTTCAGATTTTTCTCTTCTGGCTTATTAATGCTTACCTGCGAATTAGCCCAGAGCTTCCAGCTTGTTCAAGCTGCTGTGCTGCTCTTTAAAGGAGTTAATGATAAATCCCCGCGCTCCAGTTGTTACGTAGGCTGAAGGCCCAGCCCCCTCGGCTAAGTGCATGTGGGCTGTTTACTGCAGAAGTAGGCTGTGTCAGCTGAGAGTTTCTGTTCTGTACACTCCCTATGCAGCTAAACGCAGCCAAGGCAACCAATTCTGTGGCAGCTGGCCAGCTCTGGAGCTTGCTGGATGAAAATGGAAGGTGGCCTGCCAGGGAATCAATAACCAGGGACAATTCGAGACAGGGGGAACAGGGTAAGGTCAAAGAACTTCCAAAGCCCGAAGAACCTTCATTTCAAAGCCTAAAGAAGCCTAAAGAACTTTCATTGCCCTCAGCTTGCTCCAGGCACAACATCCATGGACAGCTTTCTTTGCTTTTAATGGACAAAGGGGATTTCTGACAGCTGTGAGCAAACAAACTGTGTGGCATAAATGTCCTGACAAATATAAATGGGCTGTATTATTCCCTGCATGCCTAACTGGGGGAGGAGGGACACGTAAGCTTTCTCCTAAGTCTGCTTTCTGAGCATTTATTAATTACCCAATTTTTGTGCCATAATAGCCCTAGATGAAAACAGATTTGATTGAGAAGGGACACAAATTATTCCAGCAGAAGAGGTAAGGTTTATGCTTATTACATTTTCATATCTTTACAAACTTGCTCCAAGGCAGAGGAATTGAAAAAAGAAGCAAACGGACAGGTTTCTCGGCTTAATGACACAATTGTAAAAAGAAGCAAACAGACAGGTTTCTCGGCTTAATGACACAAGTTTCTCTTTCTCTTCCCAAATATCTCTCTCTCTCTCTCTCTCTCTCTCTCTCTCTCTCTCTCTCTCTCTCTCTCTCTGCAGAAAGCCTTGCAATTCCTATCATATCCTATCCTCAAGTAAAGTTGACCCTGGAGGATCGAGAAACTTCCAGAGGACTATCAACAATTGCTTATTGTACATGCTAGGATCTTAGCAGCATTTCAGTTTAAATGGATCTCAGGACATTTGCTCCACTTCTATATCTGATGAACAGTCCCTCCCGGCCATCCTGTCCCTTTTATGTTATCACTGACCGCTTCCCTGACTAAACCCCTTTAGATCTCTTGAGACTTCACCTCCAGGAATTCTTAGACAGTTGGGACTACACTCCTAAAATTCCTTATTTGCCTAAATCAGACTTTCCAGGCTGATACTGTTCGGTTTCATTGGAATAAACAGTGTGGGAATGACAGAAACTATCACTTAATACAGTACATTTGGGTTGTTATTAGTATACCAGCTGCCAGTTAAATAATTTGCAGTTAACTAAGCCTTAAATTAAGTAATTGCTTATAAAAAATTTAAAAATTTAAATAGAGCACAATTGCCCAAATTAATTAGCATCAGTCCACACAACAGCTTTATTTTACTGCAGTTCAGTAAAATGATTACCTAAAACAGGTAACATTCCATAGTTTTAAAGTTATTCCCGCCCCCCCCCCATCCATCCAGGAGCATCCTATACCTCATATTGCCATTCCAGCTCTCTTGCTTGTATGGCCATTTTCCTCGTGTGAATGGTGAGAAAGAAAAAGATGAAGTCAGTATAATATTAGGGCAAGAGAACTCAGGTATTAAATTTCAATGTTTTAATTCCAAGATATCTATTTATAGTTGGCAACGGAGTAATGGGTTCTATTGTTCTGATGACTGCACATTTCAGAGCAGATAAAGATCTGTTCAATGGTGTGACCCGCATTCAGCAAAACATTATCTTTCAGGATTTAAATCTAATTTCACCACCAGCCAGGCTGATCTCACCTAAATGTTTGCTGAGGGTTGTTTATTTCAGATCAATTTCTTCTCTGTGTTTCCATTAGCTTCCCCTGCCAATCCAAAGCTTTCTTTCTATTTTATTCTGTCATTTTTCTCTGCCACAGGCCTCAGCCTGCAATTTTTTGAGATATGCCATTTCCCTAATTATACAAAATGGCACAACTAGAAGGATGGTGGGTGGGGAGGGAATGCAAGGCACAGAAAAGTGCTGCCATGCTGGTCACTGTAATTAGGAATGCCAGCATTAAAGCATTAGGAGAGTAAAATGTCATTCTTTGCTAGCAACAAAGTAGGAGAAAATCAGTGTAAAAATGAGAGACTGTAGTAACACTGCTCACCATTTAACAGATCGAAAAATTCCCTGTTATGACAATGCAGAGAAGACAGGATCAATAAACAGGGTCTTATGTGGGGGGGGGGAAAAGGTAAAATGAACAGAACCTTACTTTTCTATGGTGGACTGCAGGTATCGTGGAATAGAACTAGATAAGGAAGAAAGTGATATCTAAATAATAAGAAACCCATTCTATAAATCAGTAGTTAAATCTGAACGTGGAATCCAGTTAATCTGCATCACAGAGAATGGCCTTTGTTTCCTGAGATATCAAAGACTCCCAAAGTGATTTTTAAAAAAAATGCATTGCATTATTGTCTCTGGGTCAGAAAATGCATTTTGCAAGAGAAAGCGGGGAGATAATGTTTTAGGACAATCCATATTTAGGGATCCTATCCTTATTGAGATCATTATCATTAAATAATAATCAAAAATAGTATTAAGATTAAAAATAAAAAAGGTGAGATGGCGACACAAGAGGCTGCACATATGTAAGCTCCATCTGATAATTTAAAATTTTATACTATAAATATTGGATAGGAACTTTTTTTATTTGAAGCTCACAGAATCAATATCAGCTGTGGTTTGACTGCAATAAGCTACGTTTGCTGCAGAAATGTGGTATGCCAATAATAAAAAAATGTAAGCTAAAGGTAGAATTCCATGCATTTTTATCTCACAACATTTATTTAGTTCTCCCAACTATAATACAGACAGTTAGTAAAGAGTACTTACTGCAAAAAGGTAGAAGAAAGTTTGAGAACATACTACATGTAAGTAGGAGAGCTGTTACTATCATTACTATTTAAATACCTAAATACTTTGTAATACAAGATTACAAAGAGGGAGGATAATAATAATAATAGTAGTAGTAATAATAATAATAATAATAATAATAATAATAATAATAATAATAATAATAATAATAATAATAATAATAATAATAATAATAATGGAAGGGACCTTGGAGGTCATCTAGTCCAACCCTCTGCTCAGGCAGGAAACCCTATACCATTTCAGACAAATGGCTGTCCAATCTCTTCTTAAAAACTTCCAGTGTTGGAGCATTCACAGCTTCTGGAGGCAAGTTGTTCCACTGATTAATTGTCAGGAAGTTTCTCCTTAGTTCTAGGTTGCTTCTCTCTTTGGTTAGTTTCCATCCATTGCTTCTTGTCCTGCCTTCAGGTGCTTTGGAGAATAGCTTGACTCCCTCTTCTTTGTGGCAGCCCCTGAGATATTGGAACACTGCTATCATGTCCCCCTTCGTCCTTCTCTTCATTAGACTAGACATACCCAATTCCAGCAGCCGTTCCTTATATGTTTTAGCCTCCAGTTGCCTGAAGCCAAACCGAGATCACAGATTTTTTTTCCTTCTTAAACAATGGCTTAAGTTCCCAAATGAAGGCCATCTACAGTGAAGCCATCTGACTGATCAACAGGGCTTTGCTCTATGTTTCTTGGTTGAAATTGGAGTAAACCTAGCCAAAGAATTTGTCCTCATGTATCAACAAAATTATGTATGGACAACAAATAATACTCCTAAACTGGTCTATATTGGGAGGTGAAAAGGCTGAGGATATCATTGACCTTCCAACTCTAGGCTAAAAAGACTGGTGAAAGAGAAACTTTAGGCCAATAACATGCTTGGGTATGATGTTTAAATTACTCAGTATCATAATAGAAAATAATACCCGAGTTTATTTGGAAGAAAATAACATCTTTCTAACAGAAAGAAAGGGAATTAAAGGAAAAGCAAAGTTATAAAAGATCAACGTTTGATTAATAGTTATTGAAAAAAGCCAAAAGAAGAATTTGCATATGGTCAGAATTGATTATAAAAAGGCATCTGATTCTTTACTCCATAGCTGGATTATCAAGTGCTGGAAACACATGGTGTCAGTACAAACATTGGAATATTTATAGCAAAAATCAGTGGAATACAGAATTGGTGGCTGGAAAAGAAAAATATGGGCATGTCAAATTAGGAGAGGCATCTTGCCATGATCCTACTTTCAGCACTTTGGAAGGAAAAAAAAAATCTCAGCTATCAAACTGCAAAAAATGCTAACAAAATGCCACATTTGTTTTATATTGATGATCTGAAGCTTTATGGAAAATTAGAAATTGAAATCCAGTCACTAAAAAGTACTGTACCAATTTTTAGCACAGATATAGCAATGGAATTTGCCTAGAGAAGTATGGCGCAGTAGCAATAAAGTGGAATAAAATCACAAACAGCAATGGAATTGAAATGCTAAATAGCCAAACCATCAGAAGCCATTAGGATGAAGCCTACAAGTATCTGGGCATTTTACAGTTAGATAACATCAAACATGAATAAGTTAAAATGTGATTAGTAAGGAGTACATCCAAAGAGTAAGAAAACTGAATTGCGGTAAACAGCATCAAAGCTGTCAATGCCTGGACTGTACAAAACAACACACTGTGATGCAATATGCTGCTGGAACTATTAGCTGGATACAAATTTAACTGTGGCAAAAGAAAGCAAAGATGGCACTAATAAGTAATAGGCACCTTGGTTGCAACCCCAAATCACCGAAGCACCATTTGAACACAATCTGCATTGACAAAATCACCATCAGTCAACTGCAAAAGGTAGCTTTATTTGGAACAGCTTAAATCAGGCACGCTGGCTGAGGAATTCTGGGAGTTGAAGTCCATAAGTCATAAAAGGGCCAAGTTTGAAGACCCCTGGCT